TAGTCCAGGAGAGATCAGGACTTATAGAAGTGTTGATACGATACAATCTAATGGATGCCAATCCTCAGAGTTTGATGCTTTCTACCCAACAGAATACCTGAATGAGCTAAGTTTTCCAAGTATACCTCCACACAAACTGCTACTGAAAATTGGTACCCCCATCATGTTAATAAGGAACATTAACCAAAGGGAAGGTCTATGTAACGGTACACGGTTAATGGTTTCACAGTTATTACCAAACATAATAGAAGGAACCATAATTACTGGAACATGTACTGGAAAGCGAGTTTACTTACCCCGCATTAAGTTCATACACAAAAGTGCTGATATACCCTTCACTTTCATTAGAAAACAATTTCCAGTGAAAGTTTGTTATGCCATGACAATTAACAAAAGTCAAGGTCAATCACTAAAAAAAATTAGAGTGTTTCTGCCAGAACCGGTATTCACACACAGTCAACTATATGTTGCTTTGTCTCGTGCCACATCCCCAGACTTAATTAAAGTTGTAATACAGTCTGATACTGACAACAAGCAACATAACCAAAAATGTTGTTTTTAAAGATTTCTTATGCAGAGTTAATAATAATGAGGTCAAATACATAACCATTTTTTACAAACCAAAACCAAATTATATAACATGTTGTATACCTTTCAATGTTAGAATAATTAGCCAACTATAAATATATTACACATGATCAAAAAATGTAACATTTATCTATTTTTTTGTTCCTATGCTAGAAACATGTCTGAAATCTTTAAAACAATCTCAGAATTGGGATATGGATCTCCAGGAACACCCCTGCAAGTGCGCATCTTGCGCACGTGGACGCCACAAATCCGTTCTCATGAAACTTGGTTCCTGGCAGTTGACAAATACGTAACTTTTCAATCATTTTTACACAAATTGATCAGTTACCTTCATATTATAACTCCTAATTCCTACTTTTTTTAATGACAGGGTAATGCCATCCAGATTCTCGGCAGAGGAAAGGATCAAGGATTTGTACAGTCTGCTCTCATTCCTTCAAAATGTTACATAATTGTCGCTTATGCATGTGGAGAAGCAGATATCTTTCAAAAATGGATGGACAATCCTATATACATTGCTGTTGGGATGGCCTCTTCCATCACATCTTTCCCAAACACATTGACCATTCCCACAAGTTGGTTTAACTTCATATCAAAAAATCAAATACCAGATTATGTTGACCAATGTCCAGGTATAACTTTAAACACTTTTTGCACAGATAATACAAACAATTGTTCCTTTTATATAGCAATTACAGACCTTAAATCTAAACTGTATAACTTCAATTTCACTATGTAGATTTCTTAGGAGTTTTTGTCAGATTGGTAAACTGTACCAAAAGAAACAAGGAACCTTACCTTCTTCTCATCCTAGAAAACGATTTGTAAGTGTTCTATCTTTTTAAATGTACCTTTAAGTTGATTAATACATTTAAGATATCTAAACAACAGTGGTCAAGAAATTGCCATAAGTCTATGGAAAGACTGCACTGATGTGCCCGCAAAATTTAACCGAAGCGCCATTGAAAATGCACCTGTTCCTACTGTACTTGCTGTAACAAATGTCAAAATTGCAACCGTTGCTGGTACGTTTCATTAAATACTGCACGAAGCAGATTTGTTTTTGAAATAATTATAAACTTTTCATCCATAGGTTTATTGAGGCTAGGAACAAGTAACGCAACTCACATATACATGAATCCAGATATCAGAGAGACAACTGCACTTCTCGACAGGTATTACTATAAAACTGACATATTACCATGAAATATATTTTCTTACCAATGAGGAACAAAAATCACAGGTACAAAGCAAATGCAGCCTCAATAACTTCTATTGGACCACCGACACCACTATTGGAGATAAATAAAAAAAACCATTTGGAGCTTTCGGTATACTACCAATTCATTAATACTTTATCTAATTTTCTTTTACCAATCTTATAAACCATATTACATCCTCACTATTTACTACATAATCTAATATTAATATCTTTTTACAGGACCAGACCTTCACTGCACAAGCATCTATAATCGATTATACATTTACAAACACTTGGTATCAGATCATTTGTCCCGATTGTAAAAAACCAACTCTCAGGCAAGGAAAAAACTGGTTTTGCCCATCAGATGGAATACTCAGCTCGCCAATTTCTCCGTGAGTGACTATTTTCTTCAACTAACAATAAGACAACAGTACTACCTACAAGCACAACAGACTAATAAAAAAGTTTCCGAATACCCGCATTATGCAAGCTTACCTGGATTGATATATGTATATAATGATATTGCTAATATACACAGGTACAAGCTGGTAGCAACAATTAATGATCAGACCGACTCAATGACTGTCACGTTATCTGACAATGCTGCTAAAAAATTATTCGGTACAACATCAGATATGCTCATAGCAGAAGACGACCCCGACCACAGGAAAAACTTGCCCCCCATAATAAACGATACCAAAGGTGTGATGAAAAAGATGACACTGCGTATGACAAAAACCTTAAACAATAGCAACATCCGCTTTATATTAACCGAGATCGAAGACAACACGGCCGAACAATCGCCAACAATAACAACCCCACGTCCGCATACTCCAACCACTTTCGACATAACCAACAAACCAACTACATCATCTTCCCAACAACAGCCTGTGAAAGTTAGAAAGACCTTCACGTTTGAAGAAGCAGGTTATATCCATCATACACTATACAAACATATGAAAACAACAGCTATTTTAAAACAAATTTCCTTATCTTGCACACTTAACTACAGGTACAGAGGTACCGACTGCAGAAGCAAAACGTCAGCGCCATCCAGAATAAGAATACTGTGTCTGTATCTCACTGCAATACTATCAGCTTTTGCCCAACTTTGTGGTTGTAGTCTATTAAGAACTACTTCAACTTTTGCACCACTACACTATCAGTTTTTTTCTACTTTGTGGTTGTAGTCTATCAATAACTACCCTAACTTTTGTGTCTGTAATGTTTACCTATACAGTCACAACTCTTGTAAATAGCTACTATTCCTTTCTAAAAACAATGTCAATATCTACAAGTCGAAAAAAATTACCTGTTATGAATGCTACAATGTGGAAACCAAGACCAACACTAAAAAGTAATTGCATAGCAACTTCTTATAGAGTTATATTTAATAAATAATAAATAAGGTTACACACATTTTAGAATACAATTAAATATATAAGCTTAAAGACTTTACAATCTTACTCGAAAATAATCACCTGTTATGAACGCTACAATGTGGAAACCAAGACCAACACTAAAAACTAATTGCATATCAACTTCTTATAGAGTTATATTTAATAAATAATAAATAAGGTTACACACATTTTAGAATACAATTAAAAATATAAGCTTAAAGACTTTACAATCTTACTATACAGCCAATAAAAAATATGTAAAACTTACCCACCAAAAATATAAGACCCAACCATATATATATATATATATATATATATATATATATATATATATATATATATATATATATATAAAAGACAATCGCTTAATAGAAAATAATAGCAATACGCTTAACTTAACTTCATAAAAAAAATAATAATAACAATACACTTAACTTAACTTCATGTTACAAATATAAGACGTGCCCAAGACGCGACTGGGCATTTTCTAGTTTCCATCACAGACAATCTATAAAATATACAAAATAAATCTATCTAGGGTTCAATTTTTTTGGCTTTGTAGATTAGTTCGAGTACCCACTATTTTTGATCATTGTGTTTGACTTTAGCTGGGTTACGTGTAAGAAAATAATTGGATACTAAATCATCATGCCTCCATTGACTTTGGGATAGATGACCATGTAACCCGGATGCGGATCTCTCATGTGCCGAGTTCTCCTATCCAACCCCATTTCATAAAGAATTGAAATATGTTCTCCATACAAACTTCACGAGTTGTTCTATCCTTGCACATATTTTACTTGAGAGGGAAAATTATTTGCTTATAGATGAGCAAAACTAATAACATAACCATGTGATAAATAAATATAACAAATAACTTCCCGCTACCCATCATTACGGATGCCACAACATGATTTTGACATGTACATGGCAAGATTCTCAAAAAGATTGTTCAAAGATCATCATCTTGAAAATGATTTACAATTTATCATATTGATATTAGACCTTCACGTATACCCTTCACGAAGGGTTTAATGGTTGATGTGGCAACGACCACTAACCACGAATACCATCCCGGTGTTTAGTGGTGGATAGTGGTCGTGGTGAATTGTTGTCCAAACCACGGATGATCACCACCAATCAAATTCTTTCTCTCACTATCTGTCTCTAACTTTTTCTCTCTCTCTCTAGAATAAAAAAAATATTTTTTATTTAAAAATTAAAAAATAAGAGGTATATAGTGGTGGGTATCTCATAAGTTTAGTGGTTGGATGTGGTGATTAGGTGGTACCCACCACTATAGTGGTTAGGCTGGAAGTGGCACTCGCCACCAGCTCCCCTCCAGCTCGTTATAACTACTAAACCCACTCCCAACAACTGCTCGCTAAGAATTGTGTGCCATCCCACTAGCGAGATGAAAGAGAAGATAAAGAGACGAGAAATGGCTCTAATTGGCTGCTCCTTTTTTTTTCAAAATAAAATAACATAATATTTAGTTGCTACCACTCCGTACAAATTTACAACTTCATGCTATCATCATCTTATCCTATGTGGCTTAATTAAAAAAATCTTATGTGGAAGCACTCTACCACTTTTTATAGCCATAGTAGTGGGTATAACGGATGACTTTATGGATTTTTTTTATAGTCTGTGCCTATAACGGATGACTTTATGGATTTTTTTTATAGTCTGTGCCTATAACGGATGACTTTATGGATTTTTTTTTTATTTCCACCATAGATATATTATTATATTATTATATTATATTATAGTATTATATTGTCATACGCATCCACATGCTATATCATCACGTTAACTTCTCCATGCGCACTTGATGTTCTTCAAAATCAGTGCGCAAACGAATCATGATTCAATTTCTACCACTGATTCTTCTCCTGTTCATTGTTTCATACATTCTTGCGATTGTTTACTGGAACCGAAAATCTGGAAAAAGCGAAATCAATCTTCCACCAGGAAGCTTCGGATGGCCGTTCATCGGAGAATCTCTATCTCTGCTCCGAGCAGGTTGGGAAGGAACTCCGGAGAAATTCGTTCAGGAACGGATCGACAAACACGGTAGCCCTTTAGTCTTCAAGACGTCGTTGCTTGGCGACCGTATAGCAGTGCTCTGTGGTCCTGCCGGCAACAAATTTCTGTTCGGGAACGAGAACAAGCTGGTGGCGGCGTGGTGGCCGACGCCGGTGAGGAAGCTTTTCGGCAGGTGCTTGATTACAATCCGTGGCGATGAAGCAAAATGGATGAGGAAGATGCTGTTATCGTATCTAGGCCCTGATGCTTTCGCCACTCACTATGCTGCTACCATGGACATCGTCACCCGTCGCCATATCCAAGTTCACTGGCAAGGTAATTGAATTATACTGTTACACCTTAACTCTCACCACATCGAAGTTGCTCAATAATCGATGAAGTTAAATGAATGAATGTATCATCATCAATACGAAATTACACGATCAACGAATACAAAATCTGTTCAGATTGTGAATTTGTGCCCTAGTTTTCTCCACGCGTTTGAAATTTCGAAAACCACTCTGTGATTTTACCAATTTGTTGCCTTTCGATTCCTCAATTGAAGTCGCAGAAATGTTTTGCCCATGTGTTCATGTCTAATTGTGATTCAACTTTTCCGATGAAGGGAAGGAGGAGGTGAACGTATACAGAACTGTTAAGCTATACGCCTTTGAGCTCGCCTGCCGTTTATTTCTAAGCCTTGAAGATCCAAATCATATCGCAAAACTCGGTTCTCTGTTCAACGTGTTCTTAAAAGGCATCATCGAGCTACCAATCGACTTCCCAGGGACACGATTTTACAGCTCGAAGAAAGCAGCAGCAAAAATCAGGAAAGAACTAATGGCGATTATCAAAGAGAGAAGAAAGGATTTGAAAGAAGGAAAAGCGTCGTCTTCACAAGACCTCCTGTCACATTTGCTTACATCTTCGGATGAAAATGGCAGGTTTTTAACTGAGATGGAAATTGCAAACAACATCTTGTTGTTACTCTTTGCTGGGCATGATACTTCTACTGTATCAATCACGTTGGTTATGAAGAGTCTTGGTGAATACCCTGATGTTTATGAGAAGGTGTTGAAAGGTTAGTTGTGTTCTTTGATTATGATTAATTGATTATGTTGAGAATTGGAGATGAAAATGGGATTGTTTACAGAGCAATTGGAGGTTTCAAAGGGAAAAGTAGAAGGGGAAATGCTGAAATGGGAAGATATACAGAAGATGAGATACTCATGGAATGTTGTTTGTGAAGTGATGAGAATTAATCCGCCTGTTCTTGGATCATTTCGAGAGGCTCTCGTGGATTTCGAGTATGCAGGTTACACAATTCCGAAAGGATGGAAGGTATGAGATTTTTAAGTTTTAAGTAGCAATAAAAACTTAAAACTATTTTATATAAATCCTAACTATAATAAAAGGATTATTATTTTTGAGATACGTTAGAAAATCCCTATCTTTTTGTAGTTTTTAAATAATGATTGAGTTTAAATACCTATAGAGTAGGTAACGGTTTTAAAGTGGCCCCAAAAACCTCACCCTAGTCGAGCCTCGTCCTACTATTCATAGTATTAACACATAAAATTAATGAAATAACTAAAAGTTAGGGGTGTTTTCGGCAAATAACCATGCAATTTTGAATTTTTGAAAATGATCATGAGATCCACAGAGGGGTTCTATGAATCCCTTTAATCCTCTGAGAAACGACACACAGTATTGCAGAAATGACGTGACACTACTAAAAGACAAATTTTTTTTGGGGGTTCTAATGGTTCCGCAGAGGTGTCTCTGCGGATCTTGTGAACACCTCTGCGCACCGATTAATGTCTCTGAGAAATGAGTAAATACTTAAAAATCCCAAAAAAATTCTCTTAAAAATTTGTTCATACCCATTTCTCAGAGACGTTAAGCGATCCGCAGAAGTGTTTACAAGATCCGCAGAGACACCTCTACGGATCCTTAAAAACCCAAAAAAAAAATTGTCTTTTAGTGTTGTCACCTCATTTCCGCAGAGGTGTGTTAAGTTCTTCAGAGATGTTAAGTGATCCGCGGAGCCCCCTCTGCGGATCTGATGATCATTTTACGAAACTCAAAATTTCATGGTTATTTGCTGAAAACACCCCTAACTTTTGGTTATTTAATGAATTTTCTCTCACAATTAGAGTAAATTTTACCTTTTTGTTCACCAAGTATAGCTAATTTTTCACTTTTATTCCAAAATGTTTTTTTTTTTAGTTTTAGTTTTTATTTGATAATGTTTTCTTTTCAATGTTAAAATATGTATTATTTTGGGAAGACAAAAAAATAGATATACTTCGAGACCAAAAATAAATAATCATGTAACTTGAAATATGGACAAAAAAACCTTATAAAAACATTAAATAAAAACCAATATTGTGTGAAAACTAGAAAATAAAATTTTAAAACCAAAATCACTAAACAAAAAATTTAAATTACTATAAAAACTACAAAAAAAGTAAAAAAAAAAAAAAAGATGTTGTAAACAAGCATAGTACTTTAATATTTAAATTACAAATTAAAAATAAACATATATCCAACCTAGGTGGGTTGATGTACCAAATTTTATATCCATATACAACGTAAGGTTGTGTTATGAACTGGATTCTAAGAACAGATTCAATAACACAAAATCAAACCAAATGGTTCTAACATTGATGGAAAACACTCTATAATACCCAAAAGATTACAAGAACTAAAGATTGGTTAGCTGATTCGAGATAGCCACTCTCCAAGAGGAAAATAATTCCAGATTTCACAGAAAAGATAGATACCTCACTCCTTGCCCACTAACCTCTTCTTATACTATCTGACATAACAAACTAAATAATATAAAATACCTAAACTGCCCCTAATGTCCCTTTATTTGTTGAATTTCCCATATTGCCCTTATCTATCATATATTGTAGAAGTTGATGCCTAACAGGTTGATAGCTCGATTCCTTTAAAGTGCCTCTTTTGGTGTCATATATGCAAATTTTTTTCCTCAAAATCCCTATAGAGGGATGAGTTTGTTGTGTAAAAGAGCTCGAACCTAGGGTGTTCGTTGAAATATTACGAGTATGCTTTCGTTTAGTTCGTTTGTCGTTAAAAAAACATAATATTTAATTTAAATATTCTTAAAGTCACAACTGTTTTTATAAAAACATTTAAAAATAATACTAAATAAATAAAGAAGTACTTGAATATTTATAAAAACATTTTTTTACAAGAATCATAAAAATTACAAAAAAATAAAATTTGGTCCTAGAAAATTCTCGTTGACGACCAATAAACCTAAACAATATTTTATTTGATCTGACCTGGATAGCCTGTGAATCAGTCAAATTTGTTTAAGTCAGCACCAGTTAAGCCTGTCCGGATAGATTAGTTAAGTCTACCCAGATAAACTAGTTAAGTCTATCTAAACGTATATTTTTATTATACATAATTTTGAATGATATAAAAACTTTTCTTATTGTATATTTGTATTCATGTTACATATTCAGCTATACTGGAGTGTTGTATCGACGCATAAAGACGAGACAAACTTTGAAAACGCGACACAGTTTGATCCATCGAGGTTTGAAGGTGCAGGCCCAATTCCATACACATTTGTCCCGTTCGGAGGGGGTCCAAGGATGTGTTTAGGGAAAGAATTTTCACGATTGGAAGTACTCGTGTTCCTTCACAACATCGTCACCAACTTTAAATGGGACTTGTTAATACCCGATGAGAAAATCGAATATGATCCCATGGCTACTCCTGTAAAGGGGCTTCCTGTGCGCCTTCATCCGCATCAAGTTTGAAGAATACAAACATGAATTAATGTATGTATGTTGTAAGTTTGTATTTTACACGTTATATATTATAGAATCATAGAAAATTATGATAATAGTTTTTTTACTAACAAAGATGGAAGTCCAAATCATAATTATAATGTAATATATAACTATATAAGAAATAAGATTCATACTTGTTTTGTGTAAATCACTTTTATACTTTTTTTAAAACGGTTTAAACATTCAAGTCTCTATTTTATTACATTGTCATCAAGATTTCAAACTTTTTGTTTTTAGAAATGAGTTATGTTGTTTATAGAGTTGAATCCAAGATTCAAATTTATATGTCCCTAACTTGACTAAAGATGGTAAAATAGATAAGTTGAAAAGGTTTAGTTATCGGGTGAGATTGTTAATAATATCATCTAATGCGAGTATAATTTAAAACTAAAAATCAAATGAAATTTAAAAAATAGTAGTTAGTGTCTTGCAATTTGTTCCGTGCTACTTTTCATATTTAGGAAACAATCTATAGTGGATATTGTGTTGGGCAAAAGTTGCGTTGGACAAATCGGTGTTACTTTTAGTAGAAGATATTTCATTGGAAATATTGTATGCTTACTTGTTTTGGCTATCATTATTACCAAGTTTTTAATTTCGGAATGTTCTTAAACTAGTTGTCAGACCCGTATATTATACGAGTTGACTAAAACAAAATGTTAATATAAACGATTAAATGAAAATTTTATTTGAATTTGAAATTTGAAATAACTGAAAATTATGAGAAAAAAACATGCAAAAAATAAATAAATTAAAATTATGTGTTTAGTTATCAGATTTGTGTACTAAACGAGTAAATTATAACAAAATGCTAAACACAAAGGTTTAAACTGTAAATTTATTTGAAATTGAAATTAAAATTTAGAATTTGAAAGTTTAAATTAATAGTCATTATGGTAGGTTTAATTTATGGAAACAAAATTAATGATATATTGGAAATGAAAAATAAAGTAAATGACAAGTGGAAATAAACTTATCTCAAAATTATGACAAAATGACATGTGGCCAATTGTATGAGAGAAGGACATGTGACAAAATCATTCTTATTTATTAAGGTAGATCTTTGTGTACATCTACAATATAATTATAAAGATTTGCTATAAGGGAGAAGGGAGTCATTCCCTCTCAACACATTGAATCCACTGCCACATCAGTTTTTCTGTTTCAGTTTTCTTCATCTTTCCCAACCCACAACATATGGAAACCATATCTTTTTCAACCCACTCAACTCATTCAATTAAAAAAAATACAAAACAATCAAGGTAAAATATCAATTAGCAATAAAGTTATCGTCGGTACCACTCCCTCTTCAGCGGGTTGTTTAATTGATTTTACTAACCCATTTCATCCTCTCTCTCATTTTCTCTTATACCATGTGTTTTAAAACTTATACCTTAGTTGTTTTGTATATTTTTTTTTAATTCAGTGGATTGAATGGGTTGAGAAAAATAGGATTTCCGTATGTTGTGGGTTGAGAAAGATGAAGAAAAAAAATAGACAAAAATTGATGTGACAGTGGGTTTAGTGGGTTGCATGACTCCTTCCTCCCTACGAGCTTGAAGTCATGTTTTAGTAATTCATTAGGATAAAATTTAGCCATTACGAGTGGTTCATCCACTTTAAATGCTTGAAAAGACTTACTTGGACACAAAAAAGCCATATAAGCAAGTAATTATATATTTTCTTCATAAAAAGATTGTTGAGCTCTTCAAGTCGCATATCTTTAACCAAATAAATACATCAATTTTGAAGTGATGCAAGCAGTTAATGGTGAGTCAGATATAACAACTTGCAAGTAGTTTTTTAATGACAACTATCCTACTCCTAATCTAATCCTAAACACCACCTATGTCTCCTAGTGAGACTTGAACCCATAACCTCTCATTTGAGAGGGTCATTCCTTCCTAAACATGTTTTATTGGTTTGATCCAAAACAAAATGTGATCTAGAGCATATAGAGGAATTTCGAGAGTCCAATATAGATAAATGAGACAATTGGACAAAGATAAAACAAGCTGAAAGGAACCCAAACTCAAACGACTATAAACTTTAATTTACCAACAATTTCCAGGCTATCTAATTTTGACAGAAATCTCCTAACAAGCCATAGATCCTAATTTTATTTTATCTTTGAAAATAAAGTATGTTCACGAACACACCTAATATTCATATAAATTCGCCTTTGGTGGCTTATCAACTTGGTACAACATGATTGATATGTTATTTCGTTGTAGCACCTTGGTGGGAAAGTCATAACGTTAAACAATCGTTGTTTCAACTACTGGATCCCTTTTTGGGTTTTAGCAAACCGGTTGTCGTAGTGTATATTCGATAGACATACTTGGGCTCACCAGGTGGCCCAATTTATATCTTGGTCCGACAGTTGGAGAATGTTGCTCAGAATTGTTGGATTGTCTATGTTAGGACTCCCTACATTATGTTAGGGATTAAACATTTCAAAAACAACTAAAGAATCAACACACATTGGAAAATTAACAGTTAAAATTGAATTAATCCCCCAACGTTGGATTCAGTTAGACAATAAATAATCAACCATAAACTCAAACATAGAACATTTAGGATTCATACCTTGATGTGTAGGGATCCTTTGATGTAGTAGACATTAATCGAGATTGGTTATTGGTATCCACATAAGCTTATATTGCTCATAGATATGATTGATAAAAGCAAAAATACCAAGTTGATCGTCATAACCATGAAAATCCACCCCTTTGGGATTGTGGCTTGGAGTTGTCATCTAGAGTTTGGGAGGTGGAAAGGAGGCTAATAGGGTTTATAATGATTCAATGACCAAAAACCTAAGTTGTGTTTCGTATATACTTGTATTAATGGGTGGCTTTATGGAAAAACTTTCAATTCATTAATCCATATAACCAATTACTCTTAATTAATCAATTTGCTATTAAATAACTCTATTATCTAATTAATAATTAATAAATAATAAATAGCAATTTAATTAATTATTTGTTCTAGTTGGTAAATAATAATTTATCACATATAAATATGGTCTTTATTTACATATCGTTTTTAATGTGTTTAATGTGTGACCTCATAGATTCACATACAGTTAGCACTACAGTAAACTATTTGTATCATGCACGTTGTATCCAGGATATTTCTACTTATACAAAGAAAAAAAATAAAAAATATAGACACTGCTAATCATCGAGCAACACATAAATGCCCCTAATTATATATGAATGTTTTTCGCCGATACAATTCATTAGATGTTTAATGTTAAATGTATTTTTGTCTTATGTCCCTTTATCATGAGATCATTGAACATGAGGCATTGAGAAAAGCATTATCATATGTATTTAATATTGGTTTCTCGACCTGAGAAGCCGAATAAGATTACAAATTTAATGGACTATCATGCCAATGTCATTTTGGTATGACCCTACATTTACATCTATTTGATTCTATTGATGGGATCGAAAGATATCAAACTCCTATAATTAGAGGAGCAAATCGTATATTAACTACATACTTCCATCACAAGTTTCGCATAACAACATATAGTAGCATTTATAGTTATCTTGTTCCGAACAACATTTAACTACATCAAGGCATGAAATTATGCTTACTCAGAAGCCAACATATATATCATGTCAAATGATATATAGACTCAATTCGTTTATCAAGATTCACTTAATAACAACGATACATGAATTGCCATCTTGAGGTGGGTAATCAAATATTTATCAACAAAGAATACATATGAATTAGGCTCTCAACAAGACTCATATTCAACACCATGAATATTAACTAACATTCACGTTAGTCTTCTTTAATAGCTATTCACATAATATGATTAACTATGAATGTTTATAATTGAAAACAACTAATTATGGAATAAACACACTATATAGAACACGATTTGACTGATGAAAACAATCATATCGTTTATATCAATTCATACTATAAATAAGGTTTCTTTCCTTTCTGTGTTTATGCGGAAGAGAGATTCTTCCCCATTAGGCTTTACGGTTAACGCTTCGATCCAATATCCAAATACTAAACTAATTTACAAAACACACTAATCAACTAACATAATGAATTATAGGGCCTATAACATGACCATCATGCTAGGCATTGTTGGCATTTATAGATATCCATAACTTTTAAAGAAACTAATCAAATACAGTGGAAGAACAAATTCAAAACTTTATAAGCCCAAACAATGCATCGAATTAGACATAGTTTACCGGCATAAACAACCATAGAATTTCATAGTACATACCCTTGAAGTGTATGAGATCACAATCAATGGAAATTGTATATATGGTGTAACCATGCAAGCCAATCCAAATGACTGCTAGATCTCAACTTGATCAAAGACTATTCCTATCTACCTTTCTCTTGTTTCTTGCAACGAACTCCACTTAGAAGGAGAAAAAGGTCAAATAAAATTATATAGTTAAAACTTTGACAAATACATATTGCAAATAATAATGTTATTGACATTAACTATAAAATACAAACTTTACACTAAGTTGATTTATAAAATTGTGATTATCTTTAACTGTATTATAAGATAAACATCTATTTGTGACACTCGTCAATTTTGGTCAACAAAAGTCCGTTGAAGCATAATTTAGGTTAGGAAAACGTAATTTTCATAACATTCCTAATGTATTATTGGATATTATAATACTACATACACCATTTTAAATAAATTATCGAGTGAACGCTTTTATTACAAATAATAGACTACAGTAGCGTAAAAATTCGATAAATCACACAAATATTAGTAATATTCATAACACGAGGTATTTGTGTTTACGAATCTGGAGACATATAGAACGTCTAAGACGGAGCTCACATTCAAAAGTTACAACGATCCAGTCACAGAAAAGACAAAACTGCCAGATTGATCCTTGTGGTATCCAAAAAACTTTGGATAGGGTCCAAAAACTTTCCAACTTGTATGGAAGATCCAAAATAACGAAATTTTTTTGGATTTGGTCCTTAATGGATTTGAAAAGACTTATTTACCCTTATCAATTGTTTTTACATTTTATTTATTTATTTTAGTATTTAAGTAATTATAAAAAAA